GTGATAAAGTGAGGTGGAAAGAAGTTTGATGAAAACAAACACGCTATTTTTCTATTTTTGTGTGTGCTCAATATAAGGAGAGAGGAGTGAGGTGGAAGCAAGGTGATCGATTGGGCGAATTTCAGGCTTTGTTGGGTCACAACACAGTGGATGAGAGATGAGCTGGATTTGGGAACGGCGATTACAAGTGCGATATTTAGTTGAAAGATAAGAAAAGAGAGGTGTTATATAATAAGTTACACTTTCCTTTATGTTTGTCGTGAGAAGAAATGATTTAATTCATTCGTAATGTTCGGGAGCTCATTTAGGAAGTAAATACTATAGATTTCAATTAGAATAATGTTTAATTAAAATTTAATTAATTTTCATTTAATATGAAATTATGGAGGGAAAAAATTGAATTCGGTTTTGATTATTATGTATTATTAATATATAAATATATATTAAGTAATATATACTTATACATAAATATAACAAATAAGATAAGTATGTAATTCCTTGACACTCACCACCAAATGAAGTCGGATTTAGGCTTAAATATGCTCTTTTTAACAATTTCGACGATCTGGATGCACTTTCGCTGTTTGTTTTGCAATCAGAGGTTGTTTTAGCGGTTTTAGTGTTGGGTCGATTGAGTCAAAATTGCACACATTGTATTAATAATCTATCAATTTCACCGTGCTTGTTCCTTTGTATCATAGAAGACCTTTTCTATATGCAATTTGTCCCTCCGAACGTGCTCACGCAGTCTGTTTTGCAATTGAAAATCATTTTGTGATCGAGACATTTTGACCTTGATTTACATAAAATTAGATTCATCTTGTGTTGCTTTCATCTTATATATATATATATATTTGAGAAAGCCCAAGGGCTAATATATTAAAAAGAAAAAATGATACAGATAGAATGTGTGAGAGGACCCAAACATGACACTCTTCCCAGATAAATATTACATGCAAATGGTTAAAAAAAAGGAAAATACAGAAAAAATACATGAGAGCCCAAAAACCAAAAGTTTCAAAACACATAGTATCAGGTAGCTAGAGAGCGACCCAATTTTGCCCTGCCTCTGCCTCTAATTTTAGGAAATGAGTCAGCTAAAAAATTGGTAAGATGAGTGCTATTTCTAGTAGTAACCAATGTATCGTCCATTAACTTTCTGAGCTCGAGTCGGCCTCCATTCTTCTTCTTTCTTTCGGAATAGACCTGTCATTCCTCATTCGAAGACTGGCTCACCTGATCGGTGGATTGGTCTAAAGTGTGTCGGACATGTGTAGGTTGTTGAACATTAGAAACAACTACTTGTTATACCAGCTGATCTTTTATTGAATCAAAGGAACACTCTCGTGTGTCTAGGCATGTAAGTGAGTCTTCTTCAATAACAGTGAGTGGTATAAACACGTTTTGGTCAGTATTTTTAGTATGAGGAGATGCTTCATGGAACTCCAAAGTACCATGCTCCAAACCAGCAGCTGGAATAGAGTGTTCAAAAGCAGGAGCATCCAAGGTTAGAACGGTTTGGGTATGGTGTTCTTCATCAGGAACAACATTAGTCAGATGAGCAGAGGTATATGCGGTGTTAAAAGAGAGTCGGGTTGCACCTTCTCAGCAGGGATGGTAGGTGGCAAGACATCGACTCTCAATTCAGTATGAATAGATTTTTGAACATTTTGCTGTTCTTTAACAATATTTGGCTATAGATGAGGATGCAAGCGATAACAAATAGTAGAACTGTGGCCAAACATACTGCAATGAGAGCAATAAGGAGGGTGTGGTTTTATTTGGTGTGGTTTTTATTTCAACCTTTTGTCAATACCCGTTGTGAGTGGTTCCAATCCATACCTCATCCGGAGCTGGTTGAGTGATATTTCTCTCAACTAGCACACAAGTCATAGAGGGTCTGGTGACAGTAAACGTAGAACTATCAACCTTGAGAGACTTACTATAAACAGTTGCTAAGGAGTAGAGAATTTCTAATTTGAGCAGCTGTAGCTTTATCCCTGTAAACTTTATCCAAACATGAATGATAAGGGACTCCGCTTTTGGATCAAAATCGACAGTTCACTTCCGAATTTTCATAAAATGGTTGTCGATCTTGATTATCTTACGAGAAAAAAATACGAATGTAATTCACATCGTGTGATAACTGAATAAGCATATGTCGGCCGTGAAGTAAGCCAATATTTCAAATACCTAATTGCTTCATAGCATCAAAATCTTTCCGAATGATCTTAAGTTTTGGGCGACTATAAAAGAATTTCTCCACTAGAGCAAAACACCAAAAAGACCTTAGAGTACTGGTTTCAACCTCAGAGAGGAAAAAACATGTTTCCCATTTTTTTTACCAAGTTTCTTAATGAAAGTGTGATCACTACCATCTTCAAGAGCCTCATGAAAAGATTGTGGAACATTGCAGGAATTACCAAGGGCAAAGACATAGGAACGGAGTGTCGAGGTCATCTCCACAGGCAAGTTCTGGAGCGGCTTGGCGACTCCCGTCAATTTGCGAGGTGATGCGAGCAGATTTCTGGCGCGTCAAAATGCGAGACGAAATTGTCTGTCGGGCAAGAAGGCTACATGCGCGTCGTCGATTAGCAGACGACGTGTGAACATCTTCGTCTTCTTTGGGTAAGGAGCAGTCAGACGTCGTCGGGCTAGAGTTGCAAAACGTCGTTGATTGAGAGAACTGCGTGAGCATACGTGAAATCGTCATCGTGGGAGACAACGTAGAAAAGAAGAGAAGCTGATATATTGAAAGCCGGGAATTGCCATCGGGCGAAACCCTAGCAGAGCCATTATTCCGTTATATTGAGGATCCTTCTTAGCCTTTAACCTCATACCTTTACCTTCTTTTTCCGCTTGGGTCAATGCCAAATTACTTATCAATGTATTCACTTCTTTATTATTAGACTATTTACTCTCTTCCTATCATCGTTTTGCTATGTCTTTGCCTGCTGTTTCAATTCTTTGAACATTTATAGAAGTACTACAACATCCCCAATGGATATAAGCTATAGATGTTGAAATAGTTGCCCTTTCCTATACAAGATAAATGCTCTTTTATAAACGAGAAGTATAAGAAATGGTCACCTTCCTTTGGGTCAAGCCAACTTATTGGTGGATTTTTACATTTAAGTTTCATCTTTATCACTCGATTGATCGACGGAAAGTTAGACTAGTTGTCAACGGATCTATTGAAGTCTGAGGTAGATTTCACCATTACTTCCTTTCTAGTTGCCTTAAAGTCATTTCTATTGGACTTTTAATCACTGCTGCAAATGGATTTTTGTAACACATTCCTTTATGGTGATCTAAATGAGGCTGTCTATGCATAAAATAATATCTTGGGTATGTTGTTCAAGGGAAAAAACACATGCTTACTAGGGAAGGCGATTTTTGGGCTGAAATGAGTCTACTAGCTTGGTTTGATAAATTTTTTAAAGTTTATATAAAAGTTGGCCTTCAAAGTAGTATTTTTGATAATTCCATCTTTGCCGAACATATAATAGGCTTACTTTTGGCAGGAATTTATGTTGATGATATATTACTCACTGAGAGTAATAAAAACAACGTATTTGAAGTAAATTATCACTTATAGAATTTTTTGTAATCAAAGATCTTGGATAAATACTTTTTTGGTATTAAATTTGCTTAGAACAAAAAATGAATCATTATCTCAATTAAAATATTTCATTGATGTTTTTGAAGTAGATGAACTCTTAGCTTGCAATCTAGCTGACCCCATGGACAACTAAATCTTATTGAATGAAGATACATCCTATAATGATTTATCTTTGCATTGAAGGTTAGTTTAAATTTTATTTATTAATTTATTGCTTGACCTTTTATCTCCTTTGTTGTGGCGGTTCCAAGTTAATATACGAGAAATTCAGAGCAAAAGCATTGGGACTCTGTTCTTTGCATTGTTAAATACATTAAGTAGGGTTGTGGAATAGAGCTGTTGTATACTTAGACCGAGCACTTATGCGTTAAAATATTTATTGATGCCAATTGTGCTGGACTGTTATGATAGAAAGTTGACTTTTGTACAATGTATTTTTCTAGGATGTCATTTGGTTACATAGAAGATTAATAATCAAACTATTGTAATTAGATATAGTGTTGAATTAAAATATTGAGTTATGACTAGTTTTACATGTGAAATGATGTGAATCAAGAATTTGCAAGAAGTATTCAGTTTTAAACTAATTGTGCTTATAGCTCTATACTGTGATAATCATGCAACAATATACATTGCCAATTATCCCAACTTTATAAAAGGATCAAACATGATTACCATTTCATACGGGATATGTTTTCCCAGAATATTGTTACTTTCATATTTCCAGTTTAGAAAAATTGGCATATATCTTCATCAAAGCTCCAGTTCCATCTTTTTTTCTCGCTTTTATGACAAGCTGAAGCTAATAAATATATATATTTTCTAACTTCAGGAGGAGTGTTAGCATATTAGGAAAAAAATTAGGAAAAATCAATGTCTAAGTATAGCATATTCTTTGAAGATTATATCTATTCTTTTTTAATTTTTATTTTTACTCTTTTACTTTCCAATTGTATTCCTCTCTATGCCGATAAAATAAACGCCATTATTCCGGGAATCAACATATCAATTTCTCTTCAGATAATAGTTATCATTTAAATTGGAGTTTTTTTACTTGCTTGTTATAGCTCTTATGAGAGAAGTAAAACATGATTACTTATTGACCATGGGAATCAACATATCAATTTCTTAACCGTGGGTACTCAGCTTCTTTTATTTTTGCATTATTGACATGTTTGGCTAGTATGTTAATTTAGTTAAGGCGTACTATGAAACTCATTCTTTTATTTTAATTTTGTTACTGTTTTCATTTTGTGTGATTGTTTGTGACCCTGTATGATCTAGTAACTTGTTCTAAAGTCCAATGCTTCCACATTTCATCTTCACTTACCTGAACATTGTTTGGTGTGATGTGTCTCTCTGCTACCCTATGTTTCAGAAATTAGGTTTTGCTTCCTGCCAAAGGAACTTTGGAGCGACGGAAGGCATTAATGTACTTGTTGAGAAGCAGAACGAAGATGGACAGTGGACTTATGGTCTGACTTGTATTGAATATACTGAGTTTGAGAAATATGACATTAAAGATGTGCCAGTTTCACTTAACAGGTATGCATGATGCATAAATTTATGGGGCATTTACATACGTACTGCCCAATTCCTATGTATTTACATATATAAAACCTAAATTTTATTTTTTTGCCTTTGTACCACCCAAATCTTTTAATCAAGTAAAAAAAAACCACCATTTTAACTTTTAAAAAGGGAAATACACCTTTTCATGCATATGTAAAGTGGTACGCATGTAAAGATCGAAAAATAGGTGTTAGATATGTAAATACATAGGAATTGAGTGGTATGTATGTAAATCTTCCTAAATTTATTTTGAGAATCTTAGCCTACCTGTATCAAGTTTGTTAAAATATGGAAAATCATTGTTCGTGATCATTCTTAAGCTAAAATATGGAGCTTTTTTACTTCCTGAATTTCTGGCAGCTCTACTTTTGTTCATCCTGTAGCTAGCTATATACTGTATTTTCTATTTTCTTTTTATAAAGCATGTGCTGTTTGCTAATGTCCTGTCTGATTGGAGGAAATATTTGCGTACGTAATACGCACGCAGAGCTGCGTGCGTAATAACCCGCAATAACCTCCGCTTCGCAATTATTAGGGAGTGATTGAGAGGTTATTGAAGTATTAATTCTAATGACTTATAACTCTGATAACCTTCCAATAACTTTCGCTGGTTCTATTTCGATGTTATTCATGGGTTAGTATGAGGGTATTGCGGGGTTAATGGATAACGCACACAGAATTGCGTGCGTATTACGGACGCAAATATTTCCCCTGATTGGATGGCTGGAATTGTTTTAGTTGAGATCAAATAAAAATGTATGATAGCATAAAAAATGTAGTATGATTAGGAATTAGCTTTGTTTTTTGATAATTTTATTAAATTAATCTCGTGTGTTCTACCTAGTTAATTATTTTCCTGCTCTGCTTCTTAGTTATTTTGAAGCAGAATAAAGTGCCTAAAAAGTCGCCTGATTGTTTAATGGGGCCATTTTGGTTCCAGAGCCTAAAAAATTGTAAAGTTGGTCCCATTTTTTTATTATTAAAAGAAAACTGGGATTAAATTGACACATTTGTAGGCTTTGAGACTAAAATGACCTCCTGTAAAAAAATAAGGCGACTATTTTGGCAAATTTCGCTTTTGAAGCAAAGGTGTATTTAAACTGCACTTCCAGCTGTTGTTCATACTTCTCTAGCTTTAAAAATTGTAAGTCTTGTGGGTTGCTAGCTCAATGAACGTGTCCTAAATGTTTATCAGATGGATCATTTGGGGGATGCTGTAATTAGTGTAAATTGGAATATTGCCTATTATATTCTAGTTCTCAATTTTTTTGTTGTAGCTTTGATCCTGAATACACATTCTTGATCCTTTGGAGGGTTCAAGATTACATCTTTATTTGTATTAGGTTGGTTGTTTCTTAACATGTAGATCAATTTTATTTAAAATGATTAGGTTCACCTCTGTTTAATATTGATCGTATAGGCCATTTTGGAAGTATTGGCAAGGTAAACTTGGTAATTTCTAATTTAGGCTTTTTTTTTCTTTCATTTTAAATTTGCACTTGTTAACTCATTACTGGTTTTCAAAGGGCTTGAGATTATGTTTATTTATTTATTTATTTGTTGTTGATTATGGTTTCGTTTTGGTTTCTTTGGATTATTTCTATTAAAAATTCTTTTTTGTTTTTTCTTTTCTGGTATAAGCTTGCAGGCAGGATTTCCAGCCAATACGAACATTCTCTATGTTGATTTAAGGGCTGCAGAGGAGGTTGGATCTAGCAAAAGCAGAAGCTGCTTACCAGGCATGGTACTGAACATAAAAAAGCCAGTTACATATGTGGATCATCTTGGGATTCAGCATAGGTTGATATTCTACATTTGAATATTTTATTTTATCTATTTTATTGTTTTTTCGCTGTCTGTTTGCCTTCTTTATTTGATAAAATTATTCTTGTTCTTTTGCCATCATTATTTTAAAGCAAAGAGCTTTTGATTTCTGAATGAATTATTCCCGGAGTAATGGAATGCAACTTCCTCAGTTTGGTATTTTCTTGATCTTCATGGAAGCATTCCTAATTAAAATCAGTGAATGTTATAACAGAAATTTCACCAAAATTTTTTTACCTGGTGACATGGTTTGACACCGTTCTAGGATTTCAACAAGGTGTTTGAGAATCAAATTTAGCTGAGGAAAATTTTGCAGGATGATGAGAAAATGAGAAGATGGGAAATGGCTGAAGATTGAAAGAGGGAACAACTTATTCTGTTAGCTTTCCGAATGAAATATTGAAGGAGTTGCAGCTAGGACAGCAGAAGCTGCAACGAATGGTGAAGTCGGCGAGGCTTGGACGTCTAGGGTGATCCACTACTATTTCTCCAACAAGTTACGTATAAACACACCACTTGCAAGAGGAAGATGATGTAACACTCCGGCCAAGAGAAGACAAGATGATCTCAAAATAAAATAAACCAAGTAAAAAGTCTCCAAACCAGGTTCTACATGGTATATTTATATTGAGATAGAAATAAAACCCTAATTGTAACTCAAAATAAGGAAAATAGGGGCCCTCAAAGCCCATAATAGCAAAATAGCAGGAGTTTTCCTGCAATTGGTTTCTCAGAATGAAAAAATGCCGTCCTACTTGCTCACCTTCTGGGCGGCTGGGCGGGGATGCTCTCGCTTCAATCTCCCGGGATATGAGAGGGGATTCGCCTTATTCTCTTAATTCTTATGGATTTTCGTATGGCAATGACAAGTCAATAAGTTAAATGTAGCAAAAATATTACAGTTACTTGAAAAATCAATCTTATATCTATTCTTATGGATTTTCTTAGCAACTTTGAATGAATCATTAGCTCTAGGTTTGAGCTTTCCAAACGATCCAGGAAATTTCTCATTCTTCAACCAGATCAAAATCTTTCATTGTTCAATTTGAACCAAAATCTCTCATTATTCTACTTGATTGACATCATATTACTTTCTTTGAAGTCCATAGTTTTCTTGGATTTGTTTGCTTGCTTCAGATACTAGGTGCTTTGTTTAGCAATTTATATCTTCTCATGCTCAAGTAAGGTCTGTATCTCTCTAACTTGCACCTTTGCATTGGTATTAAACTCATTAGTTGAACGTATGGGCACTAACTCCATTGGTGAGAGAGGGTTTCATTCATCTACAATATCAATCGGGTTATGACTTGTTGAATGGTTAGTGGACTTATTATACGCGAACTCAACTTGAGAAAAAAATAAAATCCTATTGTTTGATGTTCTTGTCTACAAAGTACGTTAGGGGGTCCCCCAAACTCTAATTTATCAGTTCAGTTTATCAGTTCAGTTTGTCCATCTGTCTTGTGGTGTGTTGCTGAATTGAATTGTAGCTTGTTACCAAAATTTCATGTCCTTAATGGAAGGTATGGCCCACGACGCGCCATGAAGATCGACTATCCTATGGAATATAAATTTTTAATATGTGAAACATCCATCATCTTATACTAAGGAATGAAATGTGCCATCTTGGAAAAGCAATGAACTACAACCATAATTGAATTGTTAGTTTGTTATGTCCATGGAAGGCCTACAACAATGTCTGTGCTTACATTGTTCCATGTTTACTTTCGTACAGGGAGTGGAGGGTGTAGAAAACATGTATGGAGAGGAATAATTCTCTTGACTCTTATTTTTCAAATGTAGGGTAGATATATATAGGGAAAATAGTTCCTCTTAATTTATAAACTTACCAAATATATCTAACTCAAATTAGTAAAGTAAATAATTCTGAATAAAAAATAAAATAAAATAGAATATGAAGGGAATAAATTAATTAAGAGTTTCTTAAGTTGTCTCAATTGAATCTTTCAAGATCTTCTCAGATTTTTGACCAGCTCACATTAGAGAGATAGAGCCAAATCTTCTTAGATTTCCACCCTGCCCCTTAAACTGGGTCGTAGATGTTGTAGATACCAAACTTCGTCTTCAACTCCTAGAAGGTGATTAAAGGAAGAGCTTTGGTAAAGACATCAACAACTTGTTGGTGTATCAGAATGTAGCTGAGCTGTATAATTCCCCCATGTACCTTTTCAGAGATGAAGTGTCTATCAACTTCAATATGATTGGTCCTATCATGATGCATATTATTCTTGACAATACGGATAGTTACTTGTTTGTCACAAAACATCTGTATAATCTTGTTAGAGGTAGGTTCCAAATCTCTTAACAATTTCTAAATCCAGATCCCTTTATAGATTCTCAATGCTAGTGCCCTATACTCTGTCCTGCATTGCTTCTAGAAACAACTGCTTATAGATTCTCAATGCTAGTGCCCTATACTCTGTCCTGCATTGCTTCTAAAAACAACTGCTTGCATATTACTTCTCCATGTTACCAGATTTTCCCATACATAGAAAGCAATAACCTGTGTTGGATCTTCTATTCGTGAGTTCCCCTTCCAAGATAGTGTTGGTGTAAACTTCCACCTCTATATTCCTAGTTTTCTTAAAAGTTAATTCATAACTAAGAGCTTCTTGAGAAACCTCAAAATTTTATACACGGTATTGAAGTGCTCTTCATTTGGGCTATTCATGTGTTGGTTCACAATACTAACTGAGTATGCAATATCACGTATCGTATGTGATAGATAAATGAGTTTTTCTATCAATCTTTTATATCCCATATCCATAGAGACACTTGGCCTTACATCTAATCATCCATGTTTCCTTTATTAGATATATGATGTATTTTCTTTGTGATATATTGATGCCTTACTTGGACGGTTGGACCTTGCTACCTCCAAACCTGGAAAATATATCATGGTTCTTAGGTCCTTGATTTCAAACATTGTGAAAAGCACTTCCTTGATCGTTAGAATCTTTCCTTCATTATCGCCTGTGAGAATTATCACATCTGCATTTATTGTCAATACGACAATCTTACCTCCATGAATGTGTTTTATAAACAGAGTATGATCAACTTTATTTTGAGAATACCCATTAGATCTCATAGTTTTAGCAAACCTTTCAAACCGTGCTCTTGGTGATTGTATAAGCCCATAGAGAACTTTCTGAGTTTGCATACTAGGTGTTTGTTGGAATCATAGTCCTAGTGATATCTCCATATATACTTCTTCCATATCCTCATTCAGGAAAATATTTTTTATGTCAAGTTGATGCAGTTTCATTCATTGCTAACTGCTACTAAAAGGAGAAGTTTAATATTTTTAAGTTTGGCAAATGGTGCGAATGTCTCTTATTAGTCGATCCCATAGACTTGAGTTAAACATTTTGCAACAAGTCTAGCTTTGAGTTTCTTAATACCACCATCATTTGCACCCAACGAACTTCTTATGCTGATAGAGTTTGTGTCATTATGCTTTAGAGCTCGAATCTCCTCTTCATCTGCTTTACTTCATTTTGGATTCTAAAGAGTTACATGAATGAATTTAAGAATTTGCATACAATCAATATTAGAAACAAAAATTTTGAAGGATGAGAATAGTTTCCTATAAGCTACATACTTCTGAATTGGATACTAATGCATCTTTTCTGGTCTTCAGCATTAAAATAGGAATGTAATAACTCATGTGTACTAGACTCCTTACCTGAAATTTTACATGAGTACGGACTTGGGTTTTGGATTGAGCAGTTCTATCCTTACAGTTTGTCTTCGACTTGCTCAAGCATTTTTTTTCCTCTTTGTGTACACACAAGGTTTTGTTCTGGACTTCAAGTTAGATTGGCTGGGTTGCTTGAACATTCTCAATCAGGATAAGAAGGCTAGGTGGATTAGTTGGTGAGATTGTATAGATTTCATAGTGTGCATCCCAAAATTGATGTTCATATGCACTCTCCATCTAAGTATCAGATTTGGTATAGTATGATTAATTTTCAAAAAATTTGACATCCATGAACTTGTAGTATTTTCTGGTAATAGAAGAGTAACATTTAATCCTTTTTTTATTGGTGACATACCTAAGAAAAATACACTTAATAGATTTCCTGTTAATTTGTGTGATTTTGGGAATTGTTGTGAACAAAGGATACACACCCAAAGATTTTAAGTGAGATAGTAGAAGAGAAAATTTTGATGTGAGGATTAGTAACCATCAAAATTTGAAAAGGTGTTTTGAAGTTAAATACCCAGCTAAGCATTCGATTCATAAGGTTTGTTGCATTCCCCCAAAAATATATTTAGGAACTTGGTGAGACATCATAATTGAGCGGAATATCTCAAGAATAAGCCCGTTCTTTCTCTTAGCTATTCCTTTTTTTGTGGGATATCAATAGATTAATTCACATGGATAATTTCATTTTTTGAAATATATGACCCAAGGATGGAGTTGAAATATTTCTTTGCATTATCAGTTTTGAAGATCTGAATTTTGCATTGAAACTGAATTTAAATCATGTCATGGAAGGTTTGGAAGATTTTGACTACTTCAGATTACTCATTCATTAGAAATACTCAAGTGATTCTAGTATGATTGTTAATAAATAAAACAAATCATTTGACCCCACTTAGGGTTTTCACCTTTGAAGGTCTCTAAACATCACTGTGAATAATGACAAGAGGGTGTGAGAGTTTAAACTGTGTCTGAGGATAACTAGTTCTATTGTGTTTGATAAGTTGATAAATCTCACATTGATAGAGACTAGATTTTTTGTTGATAAAAAAATAAGGATACAACATATTAACATAATTGAAATTGTGATGAACCAAACAACAATGCCATAATAAGACATGATTTTTGACAAACTCAATCTCAACAAAAAATACAGGTGGGGAATAATTGTGTCTTTAGAGAGATTTTCTTTAAGCATATATAAACATTGATGCATTTCAACATTTTCAATCACCTTTCTTGAGTCCACCACTTAAAATTCACAAGAGTTTGCAAGGAATTTATTTATACATTTTATATCATGAGTAAGCTTATCGATTGAAATCAAATTGCACTTCAACCGTGGAACATATAAAACCGAGGAAAGAATAATATCCGAGAGAGCTCCACATCTTCTTTCCCAACAATGTTTGAGTGTGATCCGTTTGCATGTCTTATCAATCTAGATGTAGAAGTCTTTTGATAATTGATTAGTGTATTGATGTCTCTGATCATATGATCAGTGGCTCATGAATCTATGATCCAAGTTCTAAATCTCTCATTACTGATAAGATCGGAGAATGATAATTACCTTGGAGTGTCGTGAGATTGATGTGTTTCTCTAAATTATCTCTAAGAAATTTTTTTAATATTTTAAGCTGCTTCTTGTGAATGGGTCGATCGGCCCTTCGGATGTGATGGTAGTATTAACCTTTTTCTCTTTTTCTGTCCTTCCATGTCTAGGTTTCCAGTCTGTATGCCATCCATTAAGTTTTCAATTTTTGTCCTTGATATGCCCATTCATCTTGCAATAGTCACATGTGGGACGATTCTTCTTGTGCTTTGAGTCACGGGAAAAGTATGAGTTTGCAGGGTCGAGCTCTTAGTACTTGGGAACCCCAATTTCCAGTCAACATTTATTTTTGGGACCCTTGAAGGTAGTTATGACAATTGAATTTATGATTTGTGATAAAGTTAGAGAGTTCGGGAGCTGTTTGGACATAATCCCTGGTTTCTGATTCAGAATTAACCTCTAGAGTCAAACTTGACGTCTTCTCTCGTATTTGGCATCAAGCCTAAACATATTTAGAGCTACTTCTAATTGCTGGACTGAAGCTTTTGCTTGCTTGCTGCTGCTGCATCTACTATTTGAGGATTCCGTCGGAGGAGGGTCTGCAGGAAAGAATCTGAAAGGGAGAAATCCAGCTGCCTGAAAAACAAATGTGGGCCTGCAGGGAAGGTGTTCTTGCGGCTGAGATGATGAGGGCCTGGAAGGAAGGATCTTTTAGAGATAGAAGGTGTTTATGTTGCTACAAGGAGTTTCTAGCTGCAGGAGTTCTATTAGAGGAGTTTTTGGTTGTAGGAATGGGTTTTCCGATCACAAAAATTTTGACAGAAGAGTTTCTGGAGGAGCAAGTGGCTAGGGTAGCTCTAAAGCTTTAAGATCACGTAGAAAACATGCTTCGAGAGGAATAATTCTCTTGATTCTTATTATTTACATGTAGGGTACATATACAGGAAAAACAATCCATTATAATCTATAAAATTACCAAATATATCTAACCTAAATTAGGAAAGGAAATAATTTTGAAATAAAAAGTAAACGAACACAAAATAAGAAGAGAATAAATTAATCACAGGTTTCCTAAGTTGTCCCAATCAAACCTTCTAGGATCTTCTCAAATTTCCGGTCAACCGACATGAAAGAGAGAGTCAGATCTTCTCAAATTTCTATAGAGGCTATAGACTTGTATTTTGCCATCATATCTTGGCTTGACATCCTATACTATCAAACATGTTTTTTCACATCTCGTACTAATATAAGTTAATAAAAATTTTCTTTTGCTAAAGAAAGAGTTATCTGTCAAAATTTTCGGGCCATTCCCTTGCCAGCACACTCATTTAAAATACTGTGTGAATTCGTAAAAATGCTCAGTCTGTTCTTGTAGAATATGTAGCCATTTGATTAGTGGAATTGCTCATACAGTCTATTTTGTCAGCGAGCCCAAATTGCAGTGACATGTATTCTGTAACACTTTAAATCTATTTACATTCGACTCATGATAGTAATCAACAAGAGATGATGACTCAGTGCATCAACTAATTTATTCTTGCTCTCTTCCTTGTGCTTGAGCATAATATGGAATGAATACAGAAACTCTACCCATGAAGCAAGTTTAATTTTTAGCTTACTTTGTCTATTCATGAACCTCAAGGCTTCATGATTAGTGTAAAGAATGAACTCATTTGTTAACAGATGTGATTCCAGTAATTGAGAGCTCTCATAATAGCATAGAACTCCATGTCATAGTTAGAGTATTTTCTCCTAGAATTATTCGAATTTTCATTTAAGATAACAAAAGGTTGTCCTCCTTGACTCAGCACTACTCTAGTCTTCACATTGAAGTCATCATACTTCAACTTGAACACCAGATTAGAATCTGGAAGAGCTAGGACTGAGGTATGAGTAACCCGTTTCTTCAAAGCTTCAAAGTTAGCTTGCTCTTCATCTGACCAAGCAAATCGGTTGAACTTAAGAATCTCTGTTAGGGGTTCCATCCCCGAGCTGAATTTTTTGATATCTCTCCTATATAAGAGAAGTTAACTGATGAGATTGACCTGCCTTTGTGAAGCATGTATGCAATTTCAAAAAATGACACTTCTTCGAGTAGCCATACAACTTCTATGTTCGAATAACTCCAAACATCTGCAGTAAGTACTACAAATGCTCCTCTGAATGACTCAAAATCAATGTATCATCAAAATGTACAATCATAAACTTCCCATGAGTGTTAGAAAGATCCAATTCATCAGTCTCATAAAGGCCCCCAAGCATGGAGCATGTTTATAACCTGATTGTACACTAGTGCAATCCATCTTGCTTCTTGAATGTAGTCTTTCACTCATCCTTAGGTCTCATCCGTGTCTAGTAATATCCACTGTTAGCTCTATATAACTGATCCTCCAAGTCATCTAATCTTAGAATGGGGAACCCATACTTGATGGTAATCTTGTTCATTGTTCTGTTGTCAATGCACATGCTTCACGACACATCCTTCTTGTGCAAAATCAAAGCTGGTATGGTACATATATTGGTGCTCTCATGAACTACTCTCAAACTATCAAATCCTCAACCTGCTTTTGCAACCCCTTATACATTGTTGGTTGCATTCAATTTGGGAGCACTGATTTGGGGATGAAATCTATAGAATGTTGAATCTCTTATAGGGTGATAATCCAGATGTTAGGATGTCAGTCTTAACATCCTAAGTCTTTCAATAGGGATCGCACTGCCTTAGGTATCGACTCCTCTCTCACTACGCTCCACCATCATCAAGGTGGGTCCCCCTGACATCGAACTACATCGGGTATAACTCCTGTCTTAGCGTCCCTAACATCACCCAGAGTAATCTCACTAGAGTTTCTCTTATAGCATGTAAAAATGTAGCATGATGTATTATAACTCCCATCTCTATCACAGTTCTCATCACTTTTGACTCCTTCAATGACAGAAGTACACTACACTTCCCATCCATGATAAATGAATATATGTTTTTGTAGCCATCATGAAATGTTCCTCTGATATTGTCATGGTCGGCCCATCAAAGTGTGACATGCATTCATAGGCATGGCATCACACCCTACTTGCCTGTAATTTGTCTCCGATTTTAAAATCTACCGAACATCTCTTCTCATCACTGATATCATTAATCTTTTTCAACCAATTCACGGAATGAGTGGGAATGCTTTCTGGGTAGTGAGACTTGATTTGTCTACCTTCTTTGTAGATATCACATTTTCACAAGTAGCTCCATTTGTGACGAGAGTACACGCCTTTTACTTTGCAATACAACAGGTACGAAAGATGTTATATCTAAATCTCTGTTGATTCTTCTTTAGCTCGGTTTGTAGGACTCGTCGAACTACAAGCATTTCAACATCATTTGTTGATAGTTGATATTCTATATTTTTCTCCTCTCTTGATATTGGGGGGCCTATGATATCTACTTCTAAGTTATTTGACTTAAATGATTCCAACTTTCAAAGTTCAAATGGAAGATAAAATATTGAAGTTTATTTTTTTATGTTTTCTTAATGTTTTATGCTCTCCTACCACCTTGTATTCTCATTTACGTCAATGACATTATTATGAATTCCTACAATTGTGGTTGTGGGGCTAATTAGAAAACCAAGATTCTATTGTTCTTCTTTCCTTCTCCAAAATCTTGATTATTGTTCAAGCTCCTGCTTAAATAACACTAGGATTAATAGATTGTTGAACTCTACATAGGCCGTGTTATTGTATTCTAACTTTAGTTTAGTCTGTTGTTACGTTCTACTTGAATATGTGATCTTTCACAGCATTGTGATCACGGGGCAAGTATGTCAATAAATTTCAGGGGGTAGGTGGTGCAATTCTAGATTATTATGTAATTTATACGATGCTATCAGTATTTTAATAGCATGTTATTGCTGTTGTTGTCTTGCTTGACCCAGTTATGCTAGAAGTCTTGATAATTCATTGGGGAAGGTTTCTTGTTAAGCTGCATTTGTCAAAATTCATGGTGAAGTTTTTGTCTATTCTTCATTCTTTGCAGTTTGCCTGTTTGCAGTGTTTCTGGTGGTAGAATTGAGTGCACCATGCAAACTATTGCTGACAACTTTCTAAACACGTATGCTTCACAGCGCAACAAAGGCATTGAGGGTATTTAGCAATCGGGCATGCAAAGCATTCAGATTCTTTTTGGATTGCATACATAGCACACAAGTCTTATGTATTTGAATGTCTCACACCTAAACATTCATATTTAAACACATAGCACTCAATTCCTTATTATCACATTAAAAATAGTACTATTACCACTTTTAAAAACTCAAGTACACCAAAATGCTATGTATGTAAATACAGAAATTTAGGTATTAGATATATAAATACATAAGAATTGTGTGCTATTTATGTAAATTTATTTCCCTTTTGTTTTCCTTTTTTTTCTCTCTCTGATCTTCTTTCTACAGGTTCACTGGACACTTTTATTTTATATAATGAAAGGAAGAGGGTTACTTCATCAACTAAAAGGAAAAGAAAAATTGCAGACACGTCATTACATCAGGCATGTCCTATATTCTATTAGAGATAATAGACATGATTGAATTTTAGCATAAATTTGCAATTGATTTCTTGGACAATTTCGAAAGAGCTCTGTTGTCCTCGTTTGTCATACCGTTTTTCTTAGTCTGCTAATACTATCGTGGATTTTGTAGACCATCTTTAGCAAATTTAACTTTTATGAATTTGCTCGTTTCCATTTTTCAATACCATTATTTAAATTTTATTAAAATTTGTTCTTGTTTATTTGGCAAATACATATCTTTATGAGTTTAGGCACATTGAATGACAAGATGAAATTTTACCATGAAGCTACCGGTAGAACCAAATTCCTCAATACTGTTCCATGAAAAATTTTATATATTAATTTTTTGCACTCCACAAAATCATATATATGTGTGTGTGTGTAGGAAAAATACTTGCTTTTTATTATTCACGTATAGGATATAGGGTACATATATATAGAGAAACCAATCCATCCTAATTTACAAACTTGGCAAATATATCGAGTCTAAATTAGAAAAGAAAATAATTCTAAAATAAAAAATAAATAAACAAACAATTGGAAGGGAATGAAACTAAGAAATGTGTTTCCGGAGATAGCCTCAATCAAATATTTCCATGATTTTGTGAAGCAGCAGGCTGGCCCACCATAGAGAGGAGCTGAAAATTTCAGCTTTCCGCACTTCCCCTTTAGCTGGGTTGTAGATGTTGTATAAACCAAGCTTGGTATTGAACTCTGAGAAGGTGCTTAAAGGAAAAGCCTCGGTGAAGTCATCAACAACTTGTTGGTGTGTCGATGTGTAGCTTAGTTGTATAATTCTGCCATTAACCTTTTTAGAGATAAAATGTCTTTCAATTTCATTATGTTTGGTTATGTCATGTTGCACTGAATTATTTACAATACTGATGACTATTTGACTATCACAAAACATTTGTATAAGTCTTTTGTCAATTCCTTTAATAATTTTTGAATCCAGATCCCTTCACAGATTCTTAAGATGAGTGTCCAATACTTTGATTCAACATTGCTTCTGGAAACAACTTACTTCTTACTTCTCCATATAACCAAATTTTCCCATACAAAAGGGTGATAACCTGTGGTGGATCTTCTATCAGTGATTTCCCCATCCCAATTTGCATCAATGTAGATTTTTACCTCTCTGTTCTGGTTTTCTCAAAAAAATAATACATAATCAGGAGTCACTTGAGAAACCTCAAAATCTTGTACACTATTTCCAAATGCTCTTTATTTGGATTATTCATGTGTTGGCTTACAATTTTAACAAAGTATGCAATATATGGTCTTGTATGTGACAAGTAGATGAATTTTCCTTCCAATCTCTTATATCTTTCCTACACGCAAAAATACGCTTTCTTCTATTAGACTTCTTGTTGAGATCCATTAGAGTATCAACAGACTTGCATTCAATCATCCTTGTCTCATTTGATAAATCTAGGAGGTATTTTTTTGTGATATAAAGATGTCTTTTTTGAACCTTGCTACCTCCTTACCTACAAATTATCTCATGGTTCATAGGTCATTGATCTCAACTCAGTCGGAAGCACTTCTTTGATTTTGAGAATCTTGTTTTCATGATGATCAATAACAATCATATTATTCATATATACTATCAATGCAACAATCTTACATCCCCAAGTCTGTTTTATGAACAAAGTTTGATCAGCTTGACTTTTAGAATATTCATTAGATCTCATAGTTTTAGCAAATCTTTCAAACCAATTTTCTAGTGATTGCTCAAGTCCATAGAAAGACCTTCTGAGTTTGTATACTAGGTGCTTGTTGGAATCGCTCTCAATTCTTGGTAGTATCTTTATATACACTTATTCTTCCATATCCTCATTCAAGAAGGAATTTTTTATGTCAAGTTGTTGTCCTCATTCATTATTAACTGCTACTAAAATGACAGCCATGATAGCGTTTAGCTGGCAACCGGTGCGGATGTCTTGTGATAGTCGATCCCATTGGCTTGAGTGAAACCTTTTGCAACAATTTTGGTTTGAATCTCTCAATACCTCTATTAACTTTGTCTTTGATGTTGAACACCCATTTGCATCTAATGGGCTTTTTATCCTGAGGCAGTTTAGTAAGAATCTATGTGCCATTATGCTTCAGTGCTTGAATCTCCTATTCAACTTTTTTCCTCTATTTTGGATTTTCAAGAGCTTCATGATTGAAATTAGGAATTTGCACACTATCAAAGTTAGAACAAAAGCTTTGAAGGATTAGAATAATTTCTCATAAGCTACCATCCGAATTGAATATCTAATGCAGCTTTCCTCGTCACTAACATCAAAAGAGAAAGGGGACAATTCATGAGTAATAATCCCCCTGACTCGAAATTTTAGGTTAATGTGGACTCGAGTTTTGGTTTAAGCAGTTCTATCCTTGCAAGTTGTCTTCCACCTACTCAAGTTTTTTCTTCCTTCTTGTGTACATATGAAGTTCTTTGTTATGACTTTAGGTTGAGTTGGTTGGATTGACTGGATAACCTCAACCGAGATAGGAGAGCTAGGTGGAGTAGGTGGCGAGGCCGTGTAGGTGTCATCAATTACATCCCAAATTTGATGTTCAATTGCATTCTCACTGTGAAAATTAGATATGGGGTAGTAGATTGATTTTTTTAAAAATATGATATCCTTGAAGTTGCATTTTCTGGTAATAGGAGAATAAGATTTATACACCTTTTTGTTGGAGGTATGCCCAAGAAAAATACACTCGATAGATTTTTTTTTCAAATTTTCGGCGATTTCAAGAATGTATGCGAACAAGGGATAGACACCCAAAGATTTTAATTTATATAAAAGAAGAAAATTTTGATGCGAGGATAGGTAACTCTCAAATCGTGAAGTTTTGATTTGAAGTATCGGACTAGACATTCGATTGATAAAGTATGTTGTAGTAAGAATTGATTTCTCCTAAAAATATTTTGGAACTTGATGATAAATTATAATTGGGTGGGATACCTCAAGGAGATGCATGTTCTTTCTTTTAACTATCTTATTTTGTTGTAGGGTAAAAACACAAACTCACTTGGATGATTTCATTTTTTGAAAAATATGACCCGAGATGGAATTAAAATATTTCTTTGCATTAGTAATTTTGATGATCTAAATTTTGCTTTGGAATTGATTTTGAATCATGTCATATAAGGAATACTCAATTAGTTTTTGTGTGATCTTCAATAAATGAGGCAAACCATGTAGCCTAACTTACATTTTTCACCTTTGAAGATTCCCAAATATCACTATGGATAATGAGAAAATGTTTTAGGGTTTATACTAGGTCATGGGATAATTATTTCTAATGTGTTTGACAAATTAATAAATCTCATAATGATAAGAATTAGTTTTTATTGATAAACAAATGAGGATACAACTTTGTGACATAATTGAAATTAGGATTGCCCAGGTGACAAGCCATAACATAAGTTATTTTTTGACAGACATAAACTCAATAGATTTAGAAATTTAAGATAAAAATGGAGGTGAGATTATTTGTGTGTTTAGAGAGTCTTTCCTTGAGCAGATATAAGCCTTGATGCATTTCAATATTACAATCACATTCTCTGACTCCACCACTTGAAATTCACAAGTGTTTGCAATAAATTTAGTTATATATTTCTCATCATGAGTAAGCTTACTGATTGAAATCAAATTGCAGTCCAACAGTGGAACACATAAAACATAGGAAAGAGTATTATCTGAGAGAGCTCCATATCTTTTTTTCCAGTAATTTTTGAGTGTGATCCATCTACAAGTCTGACCGCTTTGGATGTGGAAGCCTCTTGATAGCTGACCAGAGCATTGGTGCCTCCGATCATGTGATTAGAGGCTCCTGAATCTATGATCCAAGTGCTAAATCTCCCATTATTGGCAAGATGTGAGAATGATATATTACTTTGGTGTGTCGCGAGGTTGGTGTGCTGTTCTGAATTACCTTCAAGTAGTTTTTTTAGTACTTCAAATTGTTCCTTAGTGAATGGTTCAACCGACCTTTCGGATGTGGTAACAACATTATCCTTTTTCTCTTTATCTTTTCTTCCGTGTCCAGGTTTCAAATATGCAGACTTTCCATGAAGTTTCCAATGTTTATCTTTCAGATGCCCAATCTTCTTTCAATAGTCATATGTGGGACGATTTTATTTGAACTTTGTGATACTGGTGTTAACCCAAATAACTATATTGAAAACAAATATTATTATGCAGAAGTAAATAAATGGTTAAAATTCACACACTGAAAGGGGAATTACAACAAAAAGATAAAAAAAACTCACACTAGGTCGGATCTAAGGTGGTGGTTATGGCCATTAGGGGTTTGGAAGTTTTGGTAGATGATTGGGATGGTTGGGTGGTGGTTGTAACAAGGAAGGAATTTTTGGTGGTTGTTTTGGGGGTGGCAGGAAGTGTGGGATGGCTGAACAACCATATGATAGTAAGGGGAAGGGATTGTGAGGTTGCAGGATAGGGATATAACACCAAAAGGAGGGATTGATGGGTTGCGACAGCGAAGGTGGGGGTTTGGGACAGTGAAACCAACAAATTAGGTGGCTAAGACAATGAGGGGCAGCGAAGGGGAAGGGCGGTGGACTGTAGGAGAGCAGAGGGGAGGGGGTTGTCTGGGAACTGCGACAGCGAGGGGGATGTTTGGAAAGGTTGTGGAGCAGTTGGGTAAGGATAAATATCCCCGATCGAAATACAGTCGGAGCAGCACTTGATCTTTGGCGGACAGTCACCACCTCAAACGAGTTATAGCCGGAGCACCATCTCATCTTCAGATACAACTCTAGAATGGAAAACAGCCTCGACGGCTTGCTTGGACAAAAAAATGAAATTTGGACGATAGAAGTTGAACCATAAAACAACATGTAACATATTTATAATAAGTATTAGTAGTTAGAATATGAAGGAATTAAAATAGAAAGGAAATAGAATTAGGAAGGGAATAGAAAAAGTTAAGGGATCAAATAGGAAAAAAGGGTT